ACAATCCTACTGTGTTTTTTCCTTAAAGTTCGGAACACCCTGTGGAATATTCTAGCATATACAAAATATTGAAATTAAAACTTAATTATAGCCTCAGGCTATCTTAACATTTTCCTTTTTGATTCATTTGCTTATGTTTGATAATAAAAAAGTTAGGTACGTTAACAATTAGCCATGTTTTTCATCAATACAATAAATCCTCATTTTCTGCTTAGTTTAAAAACAAGCCTAAAGTAGGCTATGAGAAGTTAACAATTTAATGCACACACCGGCAAATTTAAAGGAACCTGTTATTAATACAATATTTCTTTATATTTTTTTTATTTTATAGACTATATCTACATAGCTTTGAAAGCTCCTTGTCACAAGAAAGTCTTAAATGTCAAAATGTCAAATTAATTTGTTTATTTGTATTGTGTTTTACATTTTACAGTCATTCTGTCTGTTCATAACAAGTACAAACTTGTATTTAATTGAACGCACAATAAGAAAGAGACACTAAGAAGCCGGTCTCAAGTCATATGTGCCAATAAAAGCTCCCAGACTCCAGAGACACCATCGTTTAGCACGACTACAATTTGGTCGAGTACATCAAAATTGGAATGATAACCACTGGAGTCAAATTCTCTTTACGGACGAGAGCCGTTTCTGTGTAAATTACATCGACGGTAGAGAAAGATTGTATTAACGCCAAGGAGAACGAAATGCCCCTTTCAATTTTACTACGACCGTACCTTTTGGTGGAGGTTCAATTATGGTGTGGGGCGGTATATGTTTGGGAGCAATAACAGAGTTAGTGGTGATTGATGGTGGAGCATTAACAGCAGATAAGTATATCAGAGATATTCTCCAAGACCATGTGGTACCTTTTTCACCATATATTGGCGAAAATTTTATTTTATAGTGTAAGAGTGTAAGTGTAAGATATTTCTTATTACAAGTGGGTATAACAACGATGAATTGGCCAGCTTGTTCCCCAGACCTAAACCCGATAGAGGATATGTGGGACATGCTAGGCAGAAAACTTAGGGCACGGGTTCCTGCTATTTAAAACAGAGAAGAAGTCACAATTGCAAAAGATTGAGGAATGGGAGAGGCTGCCCAACAACTGATCGATAGCGTTATCAGAAGTATGAGAAGACGAATAACTGCAGTTGTAAGGGCTCGTAGGGGAAACACACGCTATTAAAGCCAAAAAAATGCATAAAAAAACAATTTAAGTTCAAACTGTACAATAAAGTTAATGCATTTAAAATCCGTATTTTGTTGAGTCTGACATCTTTGTGTTTTATTTCTTCTCAAACAGGTTTTATATTGTACTACCATTGTAATATAAATTCAAAATACTTCACCAACATTCGTATTATGATATTATCTAAACAGTATATAGACTAGAGAGAAAATACTCAGATTTTATGGTTGTTCCTTTAAATATGCTGGTGAAACTAAGAAGAAGAAAATGAGCATTTATTGATGAAAAACATGGCTAGTTGTTAACGTACCTAACTGTTTTATTATCCAACACAAGCAAATGAATCAAAAAAGAAAATGTTAAGAAAGCCTGAGACTGACTATAATTGAGCTTTAATTTCAATATTTTATATATGCTAGAATATTCCACAGGGTGTTTCGAACTTTAAGGAAAAAACACAGTATGAGTGTTACACCCGGTATAAAATAACGTTGACCTGTCTAGCAACAATATTATTTCATTGATATTCTTAAATAATATACCTATAACATACTAAAAAAATCACTAAAATCGGACAACAGGTTTAGGAAATTCGAGTCATCTAACATGTCCCATTTTAAGGTGTTCCGTTAATTTTGCCAGTGAGTGTATATGGTAAAAAAACATATCGATTACAAGTGGAATAAATTACAAAATGTTCGAAAACAAGAGAAACAGAAAAATATGAGTATATTCAACAAGCACCTCTCAATCAAATATCTGAGCTGGTATACGAAGCACAAAGAACATTTTATAAATTTCACTCACCTAAAATTAAAATGCGAACTGTCAAAACTATTATTTCCTTTGGTAACTATTCATCGAAATGTTCAATACAGGAATATAGCTACAACAACAATCGTATCAACGAACTTGGATACTTAATAGTCCATTAAACATTGTGTTTTCATTGTCATTATCATTAAATAGTTATCAAGCTAACTATCAATAGGTCAAGTTTATATTTTTAATTGCAATATATTTAACAATTAAATGCATTTCTTACCATTTTGAAAATCTAGCTTTAACCACTGCAATCATGGAACAACAACACTGAAGAATCATGGTATTTACACACCATTAATAGATATTAACCGATTCGATGAAGCAGTGACTAAGAGACCAAAACGACAGTAAGTATCTTTTCAATTATGATATATTTATATACATACACACACATGTATATATATATATATATATATATATATATATATATATATATATTTTATTGGAAACATTTGGTTGTAAACATAACAGAAGGTAACCAATTCTCGTAAAGAAATCGATTGCTTAATCACATTTAAACTCCACGAATAGAAATAATCTCTGTATAATGGTTGAATAGACACATCCGACAATTCTGTACTCTATCTATATATTAATTACTTGTAACCATATGGCAATCATATCCGATTTAAAAAATTGATTTATAACTAATCAAGTGTTTATTGAAGATTATTATCGATGAAAGTCCATACTTTCGAAAGAGAAAATGTAACCAAGTGCAGAAGGCATGGCTTTGCATCTAATAAAAAATGAAAAATAAAGTTACGCCAACAGCAATAAAAAGATCAATTTATTGGTTCTGATATATCATAAAAAGATGTTTATACAATTTGTAAGTATACACTATGGTTTTAAACAGCGAAACAAAAAAAAACTGAATGAATATGTTACAGAAAGCAAAATAATAAATAAAAATAAAAAAAAAATACCTCTCACAATATAGATCTCTTTATATAGATAGCACTCTTAACACAAAGATCAATGAACAATTGTTTTTTTACCATGCTAAAATAACAATTAAAACAATTTAAACTATTCAATATTTGTGATTATTTACACAAGCATTCGTTTTTAATGAGTTGAACTGTTCTCTACTTTTGCACTGATCATTAAACTAATTCGAAGGTCTGTAACCTCTTCAGTCTTCTTACTATCGCTGTGTTTGTTATCCAGCAATCTTTCCTCGTGGTTTGTATCATACTTTGTGTTTAACAGTCTCCACCTTTAAGTATCGGTGAATGTGGCTGTTAAATGTACGGAGGGACATCAAAGATGTCACTTAGAACTCTGTTCTATAAACGTTGCATCTTCAATGTTTTGTTCTTGCAGGTACATCCAAGATTTAAGCACGGTGTATGGCCATACATGACCATACTGGTCCAAGTATTTGTTTGTAGATCAAGGGCTTGTTGGAAGCATCTAATTCAACCGTTTGTAATCAACTCAAGTTCTACTGGATTTTTCTTAGCTCCGCAGGACTATGAAATCTTTGTAACAAAATTTGTGTAAACTGATTATGATCTCATTCAATTTAATTCTTCATTTATTCGTCTACTCTACAATCTGGACCAATGAAGATTGTAGTTTTCGTGGAGCTTATTCATAGTTATTCCCCACCGCCAGAATAGCTGTATTTTGAAATACAGTTTGGTATCCTATCATTTTCGAGATTAGGAATATCATTAATATGCGGTATTTTAATCTAAAGATCCGAATTGCTAAATGCTAAGATTCGAATACTTGTAAGTACGGGTATGCATTGGGCATACACGAAAAAGAAACACGTGACAATTGATAAAATGGAAACAAAACATTCAACGTGAGGGGTAGAACTATCTGTCATCAATGATTAAAATGTTTCAGCTTTATTGTGTTTTGCAGTTTAGCTGTATTCAGTGTTTCTTATTTTTCGTTTGTCAAACTGGTATCCAAGTATTAGCTATCATTTATCTATCTGTCTTTGATCTGATATTTTTTTATCATTAGGTATATCCTTACCCACAAAAAATGAAGCTCTCAAACTGAGCAACATGGTTTTCGTTAAGTCTTGGTGAACGACCAGCTTTTTATCATCTACTTTTGTTAGTCTTTTCGTTACAAGGTTGCAAAAGTTTTATTGAAAGTTTATGTGCATCAAATATATCATAACAGCATTTATTAGTTTACAAAATGTAAACTAAAATAATAAAAAACAACTGTCAAAACTACAGAACAGAAGTACTCCCAGATGTCCATTCCTGTAGTATCAATTTAAATGTCTTCGTGTTTCCATCAAGTAGCATTTAGCTATTTTTATAAAGAAATGAGACAGATGACATCATCATAGTATAAGAGTAAGCCATAAGAGCTTGTTACTCACTAGGGATTGTGTGTCTTAGAGAAGTGCAGGATTACCAAGCAGCAGATAAATTTAGTAATTAACCATTTTGTGAGTTTAGCAACTACAAAATCGTACAGCGGAAAAGATATTGTACTGGAAGATCAAACAAAAACGACATTTCTGTTAATTAAATTTCTGATTAATACCAAGACAAAATTAAATAGTTTTATTCGTCTCTAAGAAAAACAGACTAAGCATAACATCATAACATGCACAAATTTAACTGTCAATTAAGAAAGCACGAGAATAAGCCAAAAGTGTGTACTTTTTGTAACAATTCTTTTCGATATTGTAAAAATTAGTCATTCTAATTTTAATAACTATTTTTTCCATAGATCTCCTACATAACTGAAAAAATTTGATATATGACGGTTGCTATTTTTGGTTTTAGACCATGAAGATGTTCTACTAAAATTACCAATCAAGTTGCAACATTCGTAGTTAATAATTTAAAATTTAATAAACTCTGTTGTATTTGTTACATTATTCAGAAAAGATGCCACAATTTTTGCGCAGTCCATAAAATGACTGTGACATAAAAAACCAGAAGTTCTTTTTTGTAAAACTGTGACAATTCATATGGAAAAATCAAACCCCACATACCTGGTGAAGAACAAGACGCATCGACGTTGTCGTCTTTACTCTCTCCTTCAGCGACTTCGGGTTCTTTCTCCTGCGTTTCGGCACTGGGTACGTCGCTGACCGGTTCCGATGAGCTTTCCTCACCTCCGACGGTCTCAGCTCGCTCGGAGACGTCCTCCACTGGTGGTATATCCTGAACACTTTCAGTTTCTGAATCAGAAGCAGGATCTTGGCGGTCCAGGGATTTTCCTTGGCGTTTGTTGTAGGATTCTGTTGCGTCGGTGAAATGTTTAAACCACCTGGAAATAAAAAAAATAGATTAGATATTATTTGATGTAGTAGGTGAAAACTCTTCGTTGGAAAAGGTGAAATAGAGAAGAACTTATAGTGGGTGTAGATGAACTTACATTTCTATTAAATATGTGTAGTTTGTGAGTTAGTGAAAGACCGGCTCAAACCAATATGTAATATATATAATTACAGTCGAAAGTAGCGAAATACAAGCTAGGAAAATATCATAAGAAATCCTTTTTTCTATTGCTTAGAAGTGAAAGACAGACTGAAAATAAGACGAGGTGACCATTTTGGCGGCGGACCTTTGTGACGCAAGTGGGAATGGCTTCGTTCCCATTGGGGGGCAGGGGGGCGCGGAGGCGCGTGACGTCACAATTGGAGACAAATCAAAGGATGCCGCTTTTTCCCACGCGTGACGTCACATTTGTGACAACTGGCGTCGACTAGCGGATAATAGTTAAATTATGACATTATCCGTTGCAACCCTAACTAACTGGTTCTAAACCATGCTCGGTCGGTAATGCAGATCTAACTCTAATCAACAAGTCTGGTTTTCTGCCCCAAGTGCCCCATACTCTGCTATGGGTAACATACCGGTCTGCATTACCGGCCGAGCATGAACCTTAGCGGTCGCTATTACATCGAATGAATCTGCATTACAGACTGTCACAGTTCAACTTTTATTCGCTAGTCGTGACTAGTCATTAATTCACACCTTAATTTACAAATTATTTAGCTGTCAATTCTTCTTCTTTTCCGCCTGTCAAATATTCATTCTCTTACATTGGATCTGCATTACCAGTCGACAAATATGTTAGTACAGTTCAGAACCGTAATTAGGGTTGTAACGTTGTCAAAAATATCCGTAGGGGCCAAACTGTTTATCCTAGGATAACATAAGAGAGCTCGATGAAAAGGGGTGGAAAGGGGGTTGAATATACTGTACGAGGTATGTTTTGCTGCGTGCCAACAAGACCTGAATGACGTATCAGTCAAATAGTTTAACGTAGAGAGTCGTGTGAGGTGTGTAGGGTAGGTTCTAACCAATAGAATACGATAGTATCCAAAAAAATATATTGATGTTTGGTTATATGCGAATGCTTATGCCGACATTAATTAATGTGCGTAGCGCAATATGGTTATCTTATATGGGTCTACGTATTCGAAGCGCTGTGAGATTATTTTGTTCTAAGAATCACAAGGCAAAGGCGTATACGTTGTATAAATGACAAGCTTATCGAGTTAAATAGATAGTCCTAATTGTTGCATTGATTAATTTCCTGTTAGTTTTTCTTCTATGTATCTATTATATAGAATATACGAGAGCTTGGGTGACACAATGTCACTCAAGCTCTCGTGTCAACTGGTATAATTAAAAAGAAATCAAAATAACGGCAAAATATATAACCTTCGATTTGCCGACAATATTGCTAATAATAAAACGAAGTCGAAGTAATGATGAACTTGTAAAGGTAACTCAAGAAGTGTTATGAGAAATAAACAAAACAGAACTAAAGAAAGTTGGTTTCAATTTTAAGAATTTAAGAGAATTTAAACTAAATGAGTCTTTAAATGCCATTTCAAGTTAAAAATCAGGATTTAAACTCAGTAATTAAGAATAACAATGAGGCAAATGTAACAGTAATTAGCATTCGAATTTACCAAACAACCGATTAGGTACTTACTGCAATGTTATCAGTAATAAGCTTATTTTATAATTACAGCAATTACCCATATGAACCCTAAAATGACTTGATTCTTTTTTTTTAAATGGTTCTAATTTAACCTTTGGAATATTCACTCATAAATTCCTTTAAATAAACACGGCATATACGCGCTAAAAGCCCCCATAATGATTGCACTGCCCTATGTTACGTGTACTGTAAAGGCAAGGCGAGACAGATATAATAGTATGTTCATTTATATACATTGGTTTATTAACAAATTAATAATTGTTTATAAATTTAATGTTATATATTATCTGAATAATAAATACCTTTGTTATATAAAAAACAATTTATTTCACAAAAGGCTATATTACAATTTTTAAATAAATTAATTAGTTATTTGCCAATTTTAATAAAAAGTCGATGAACAAGATGAACAACAAGGATTCAGATCGGAAAGATCCTGCGTAGACGCCGTATTTGTACTAAGACAAATCACAGAAAAGGCCATTGAGTACAATAAACCAGCATATCTATGTTATATAGACCTGACAAAGGGTTTTGATCGCATCCAAGTCGAAGACGTCTTACACCTGCTGTATAAAAGAAACATACCAAACAATATTATACAAACCATCGAAAACATCTACTTCCATAATCGAATACAGGCAAAGATAAATGGAAAACTAACACAGTGTATACTAGTAAAAAGCGGAGTCAGACAGGGTGACTCGTTAAGCCCACTTCTCTTTAATAATCTGGACTATAATAATGGACGAAATAATACAAGCAGTACGTAAAGGTCATGGCTACAGAATGGGGAATAAAGAAATCCAAAGATTATGTTATGCAGACAACGCCGCAATAATCGCTGAGACAGAAGACAAGCTTCAAAGATTAACACACATCTTCAATACAACAGTCAAGAAATACAATATGATAATATCAGCAGAAAAAACCAAATGTATGACAACATCTAAATACCCACTACGGTGTAAAATCGAAATTGATGGAAAAATAATAAAGCAGGAAGCAAGGTTTAGGGCGAGCGCCCACCAAAGTGGCGTGGCAGTGGCAAGTAGCAAGTAGCACGCGTCTAGCATAATATAACCAATGAAAACGAATGATTTAGTTTACACCAAAATGACAGTAACGTCATTCATTCTAATCATTCGTTAGGATTGGTTACATTATGCTAGACGCGTGCTACTTGCTACTTGCCACTGCCACGCCACTTTGGTGGGCGCTCGCCCTTAGATATCTGGGAATAGATATAACTAGTTACGGAGATGTTGATGAAGAAGTACGACAACAAAGCTTAAACGCAAGTAAAGTGGCGGGATCTCTTAATGACACAATCTGGCAGAACAAACACCTAAGACAAAACAGAAAAACAAGAATCTATAAAGCAGCAATTAGACCTATATTATACACGGCGGAGACAAGACCTAACACATCTAAAACGAGATGAGTTTTAGAAACAACAGATATGAAAATACTCCGACGAATATCAGGGAAAAGTCTGTTGGATTGGGAGAGAAGCGAAAACATAAGAAGAGCAAAAATGATCATTTATTTGAGTATAATGATGAATATACTATTATGTTTTATACTAAATATATCTTTTAATGTTTATTCAATAAAAATAATTGTATATAAATTTTATATACAATATAATATTTTATATTATGTAAATAATACTTTTTATTTTTGTTATTTTGCAGAAAAGTTCATGATAAAACGTTTAAACAAATTAATTAATTTATTAATTAATTAATTTTAGTAGTTTTTAAGTTTTTATTTTAGTAATTAAGTTTAGAATTTAAATAAAAAGTTAATTGCATATTTGTATAGTACAGGAAAAGCTAATACACATTAGAAAAACATCCATTTATGTTGAATGGTTTTCGGGACAACATACTTAAACTTGAAGTTGTGATTTTACTTTTCATTGCTTTAAATACACACTCCCTCCACTATGCTCCCAAATAAACCTTATATAATAAAAATTTTAAAATTGAACAAAGTAACATTTAAAATTGTTATTAATTATTTTTATAGATTGTTTTAAAGATTTTGATATATAATTGAAAAAGTTTACATATTGTTTAACGGACTCTCATCTTCGTGTAAGTGGACTTTTCCAACTGTTTACTGTGAGCGTTATTTCATAAAAAGGCCATATTTATCATGTGCTGATTTAGAAATCTCTTCCAAAGTGTAGACAAGAAAATTCAACTCAAAATGTTTTACTAATAACTCTTTTTAAAGTGTCTGATATAATTATAAAAATCCGAATTTGTATTTATGTGAAATTATTTTAAAAAGTATCTAGAATGAAAATTTAAACAAATGATTCAATATTGTTGGATGGCATTTATGATGCCTTAAATTTTGACCATTCAAGAATCGTTACGAATCGAATTCCAGCATCGACCTTTTATTGTTGTTTGTTTTACTACATATTTTATTGACAGATATTGTTTAAATTTTTTACTTTTTATTGAATGGCTGGTTTTTTGTGTAATTATTTTTCATGTAGTTTTTAATTTAAAGCTGATTAGAATAAATATATGATGACTAATAACGAATTGATGAAGAGTAGTGAATCTTGAAGACCGCTATTTTTTCTTCTAAAAAAAAGCTGTGATTCAAAAAATTTGAAACTCTATGTGTCAATACAAAAAAGATATTTAATTTATTGATTAGCTTAAAAATACTGAAATTTTTGCAACCAAATATAATTAATTTTACTTATTTTCAAGATTCTATTTGATAGGAGAACTCTTCCCCTTTCATTTAAGAGTTGTAGAATTCTTCTAATTTTACTATTTTCTGTCTTAGAGCGTTTTAAAAAAATGTCCATAAACAAATTTAATTGTTTACAAACTATTCGATGAATCGTTTTGAATTTTTATCAAATATTGTCCACTTCAAAGCCTTCCTTTTGATGCAAAATTGAAAATTGTACAATTATTCACAAAAAAATCTATTAACAATGTATGCTATTTTAAAATATTTCCCCCTTTTAAACGTTTAATAATAAATGCACCAAAAAACTTTTACCGAAGCTTACTTTAAAACTAAACAATTCTTTTTTCAGTTTTTTGATAAAATATAATGTTTTTTAACTTATAGACAAAAATTCTAACAATCATCCATTTTTCACTTAAATAGTTTATAAATAAAAATATATGAAAAAAATTTCGAATTAACTTTTGTTATTATACCCAAGAAGACCCTAAAACAATTTTTAGATAGTAGTTCAGTGACTGTCAAAAAAAATACTTTTTGCTCATTTTCCTGGGCTATTGTGTACCATTTTTCACCCATCTTTA